GTTGCTCTCCCCAAACAACAAACAACAAAAATGATATCCATCAGTTGGAGCTAGTTCATAACAGATTCGTTGTACAGGTACTGCAAAGCTTAAAACCTCAGAATTCAGCTTAGGACATTCCAAAAGCTTGGATTAAGTTGAAGGTTGCTCTCCCCAAACAACAAACAACAAACAACAAAAATGATATCCGTCAGTTGGAGCTAGTTCATAACAGATTGGTTGTACAGGTACTGCAAAGCTTAAAACCTCAGCTCATTAAATAGATGTGTGATGAAAAGGCCAAACTTCACTGTTCACATTAAAGAGAATTGATATCATTCAATCAAGAAGTAAAATTACACAATACATAATTATATTATCAACCCTGACTAAAACATTTGTGTGATTGATTCTTTTCTTGAAGAGGTAAAGCCACCATCAGTGAAAAATAGAGGTAAACCATAACTTGTGCCCCAACTATATCTTTTTAAAGTTAAACATGTGGAGCAAATTGAAATGCACATGCATCAATCACATTTCTACTTGAAATGATTGTGAGAGAAAATGTTCAATCAGAAAAATACTATCTTGATTTGAAATGGAGAACAACATAGAACATTTAATAAACTGCAATAAAGAAAAATATATGAAATTCAACAACATTGTCTTTGCTTAACCAGGACCAAAATCAACAAGAGAATCCTAAACAAGGTAAATTCCAAAATGTTACGATACATACCAACAGTGTCAAGACTGGGTGAAACAGGTAAGACTCCTATCTTTGAAATAGCTCCATATGAGGGACGAAATCCTATGATACCACAAAATCCAGCAGGTACTCTCACACCACCAACAGTATCAACACCTGCCATAAAATCTTTGTGTCAAATGCATATTCCAAAATTTACAAGCGTCCCCTAGAAATTAAATTGTAGTCCAGAAAACTAAAATTTTAGTAACGAGTGATCCAAAAATGCCAAAAGTACACAGCAAACTTGCACAATCTAAAGAAGTGTAACAGTAGAAAGACCTGACCAACAAGCATCCTATATTACATAAACCAATAACAGCAAACAAAGAATCATGCATCCCATTTACAGAATAGCTTAAAACCAGGTTCCATTTCTATTTGAGGAACCACAGAGCACAGCACAGCAATATAAATTGCACAATATGTAAATCAACTTCAATTACACCATGGTGACGTACTTTAGGTTTCCATAACAATTATTATCAATCAAGCTTGTAGGTTAGAGACATAAAATAACTCAATTGCAAAACATTTTGAATTGCTAAAACATTTGCATGAAAGCAATTCAAAAGTTTCTTAAATCAAACCCCGTGATCAACACAAATCACCTGGTGGTCTAAAAGCCAAGAAATCACAAGCATGCCAAAGAGGCAATACGAAGCTCACCCAAAGAAAAGTCAACCAGATTAGCAGCCACAGCCACAGCAGCTCCACTACAGGATCCACCAGGTACCCGAGCAGGCACAACAGGATTGACAGGTGTACCATAATGCTTATTTTCTCCATGAATACTGAAAGCAAACATCATCATCATCACCATACTAAAAGAAATACAAGTGGAGAGTATGCATGGCCTAAGTTTGCATTGCAGTTTGTGTCGAAAGAAATTCCAGAACAACAACATACCTATAAGCAAGTTCATCAATAACAGTTTTACCGACGCAAGTAGCACCTCCGTCAACAAGAGCTGACACTACATGAGAGGTTCGTGAAGCTGCCTGGTGTGTCTTCGCCCACTCTGGATGACCGAATCCACTCACATATCCTTCTATCTCAAATCTGACAATCCAAATATATTACTTTCAAGAAATTAAAAAGAAGAAATAGGAGTCATAAAACCCTAACTTTCTAGGCAAAAAAGAATTTACGAAGGGAAGTGGAGGGAGATACAAGATCTGACAATCCAAATATATTACTTTCAATAAATTAAAAAGAAATATGAGCAATAAAATCCTAACTTTCTAGTAAAAAAAAGAATTTACAAAGGGAAGTGGAGGGAGATACAGGTCGGAGACGGCGAAGGTGAGGGCGGTGAGAGGGTGAGGAGCTTTAGGAGGAGGGGGCTGCGGCGGAGGAACTAGCAGAAGCTTCTCGATAAAAGCGCCAAAATCTTGTCTAATAATAGATTTCTTAAACTTTTTAGTCATTAACAAAATCCCAGCCAGTCCTAATCCTAATAACACCCATAGATGTGCAGAATTCGACGCCATCTACTTACTGCTGCTACTGTTTTCTTTATATATTTTTATTTTAATTTTAGAGTAAATAAGGAAAAGGCAAAAACCCTAGACTAGAGGGCACAGAAGGAGAGGAGCAAAAAGGAGCACTCCTCCTCCTGGACAATGATAGAAGGGATAGACAAGAGAGTGACATTTTTATGTTTGTGTAATGTGCAGACGGAATTTAGAAATCTGCTTCTAATTTTTTGTTATTCTGTTTTTTGGTCCATCCATTTTTTGATATTCCTCATCTTGGTCCTTTCGCTCATTCGGGAATGGCAGGTGCGAGTGGGATTTTGAATTTTGATTACATGGACAAGGTGGGTTCTAGTGCAAGCAAGCTTTACCTTTATTATAAGCAAGAAGCTCTCACTGTGGTTTTCGTCAAAGCTTGTACCAGAAGTCTCATTCAGCAGCCACAGGCATGCATGAGGCCACTTCTTCGCCTTCTTCCTCTGACTTGATGCTGGAAATTTGGAAGTGTGGAATTAATTATTTTTTAAAATATTTTTTATTTAAAAATATATTAAAATAATCTAAAAATATAAAAAATAGTAAATTTAAATAAAAAAAAATCAAAATTATATGGAACGTGGTTTCACCACATTCGAACGTTCCAATACAGTATCTTTGGATGACGACAGACCCCAGTATCTCTCTTTTATTTAAAAAATAAATGAAGTTAATTTTGTTATCAAAAGAAACTTGTTACGCAGGATAGATTCTGGAATTTCTAGGAAGCTTTATGCACAATTTCAGAGATTTATTACGCAGGATAGATTCTGGAATTTCCAGAAGCTTTATGCACATTTTCAGAGATATTTAAAAGTGTAATGATAATTATTTTTTAAAATATATTTATGAATGATTGGCACCACCTGTGTTTCATGCAAAAGTTGTGATGAAACCAGGGATCATTCGATTTTGATTATGCCTTCTCCAAGGCAGTGTGGCTGCTTAGGTTCTATGGCGATGATAGCAGTCAAATATATACTTCATTGGGAGAGGACATTACCATTATTATTACCATTATAATCCTACCACATTCTTGGTTGATCCCGAAAGATTTTTGGCCACCATCATTTAAGAAGATATTCAATTCAGATACAGCTGAAATTTCATCACTAATACCACCACAATACTGGTAATGATTTTTAAGATCCAAATAATGAAACACCGCTTCAAGATTCTTCATCCATGGGTCAGAGGATCAGAAATCGTTTCTTTCTTCGGAGTTGGACTACAAGAAGGTGATACAGAAATTCCTAATGCACAGATCAAGGTTATGAATTCAAATCCTTGTAAGCTTCCCTACAGTATTGTCCATTAATATCATGTGCCCCTCCCCAGTTCTCCACCAACCGAAATTCAAATGGGCTAACGGACGGGACTTAAGACTCCAAATACAGCAACAAATCTTAGAGTAGCTTTGCTACCATCAATAAGAACAGAGAAATATCAGATTAAGATCTAAAACCTTATATGAACCTTATATGACACCCCATCAAATGATATTTAATCTTCAACCTACGAGAAGAGAAGCTGTGCCACAAAAAGCTCAACATGCAACAATGAGAAAAAGGAAAAGAACAATAGAAAGAAATAAACCCGGGATTTTTTATAAGCATTGTTAATGAGGTCAGTAAGAAAGCTGAGGGTGGAGGGTTCCATGAAAATAAGAATAGAACAATCAATGGCGCCAAGTATATTCCGATAAAGTGGTGAAGACTGATGCAATAAGTTGAACTTCAAAATAAAACGGATACACAAAAATGAGCAGGAGCATCAGCCTGCATGCATGCGAACAGAGAGAGCCAGGGCTCTAGTTTTCTGTACCTTAAACATCCGACATCCTGAGGAAATTACTGCCATGCTTCCTAGGCTGATGCAAATGCTCACGAGAATGATGAGATTGAGTTTAGATGAGGAACCATGAATTCAAAATCCTTTATCTAAATTCTAGCATATGAACTTCCAATCATGTCATGATTACAACATCAAAATCCCACATACTGGAACACCATTTAAAAACATCAATTTCAGTACTCTAGCATGACTTTGATAAATGAAATGGAAAAGGAAGATAGCTACACCATTAATGGATCCACAGATCTTCTCAAGAAGACACCAAAGAATGGAAACCATCATTTTTTTCCTTCGTGCTGGTGAACAAAGATACTTACAGCAGACACCAAAATTAATGTAGTGGCGGGGTTGCAAAATAGAACAAGGAGATACAACATTGCGTAGATCTCGATATTCAATGGAGAAAATGACGACTTGCAGAGCCAAAAAAAATAATTAGTTTGACTTACCCTTGGAGTCGCATTACAGTATCCAAGGAAATCTGGGGGAAATTCCACAAAACGATTCCATTTCCATGTCATTTTGCAAGATCTGATTGATCTCTATATAGCTTTAATAGCTGGGGGGCTTCATCAAAACAATTCACGAACTTCTCAAGGAACAACTTCTCAGAATACACAAACAAAGTATTCAAGTTAGGCTTCTTGTCAATCAACTTATTCCTTAACAGAAAATGAAGAACCAAAGCCCTTGGTATGAGTCTCTTCTCCAAGCTATACATCAAAAGATTTGGGTGTTTTGCAAGATATAAAGACTCACAATCCATTTTCTCAACGAAAAATTTCATCACTGCCATAATCTTACTCTCCGATGTCATCAAGCTCCACGGGTTCTTTCTGAAAGCAACAAGAATGTCTTTCTCAGACCAACCCCAACTCTTATAAACAACAGCCTTTCTTTCCCACCCAGCTTTTCCCAATTGACTCAATACCACCACTGCTCTAATAAACTCTGCACTAGAAGGATCATAACCCATTTCTCTAACTTCCTCGACGCACTTTCTGAAATGATTTAGGCATACACCGATAGACCTAGGCCAGTTGCAAATTAAGGACGCAATCTGTGTTCTGGGAACTCCATGATCTTGCAAAAGGTTGATAAAAGGTTTCAAATATCTGTCACCGTGACGAAAAAGAATAAACGGGTCATTTCTGGCAGCAGAAATGACTTTGCTGTCGGATAGAAGCAGATCACTAAGTAAGTTGAAATTAGGAGTTACATGATTTTGCAAGCTTCTGCCTAAGAGAAGAGGGCATCCGCTTAAAATGTGGGCAATATCAGCGTTTGACATGCCTTTAGAATAAAAAAACTCGAGTCTTGGAAAGAGGGTTTTGTCAGGATTGCACGAAAGGACTCGTGGATATCTTTTAATTAGTCTAAAGATATCGGCATCACAAAAACCATAGCGCTTGAACATGTGAATCACTGCGTCAGGTTGATCTGGGGTTTCAAAAGTGAGACGTTTAGAAGCTGAAAGAGCAGATGCTAGAGAGAACCCACATTTATTTATGAGGTAACAGACTGGGAATGATTGTTGATTTGGATTTGCTTCACTGGAGACACATCTGGCATTCATAAACAGGTTTTGAAGCAAATAATGTTTGTGTTTTAGCATGAGTGTAGTAGCCGTAGTTTGTCCCCCACTCCCATGGTGGAGAATGGTTTTGTAGAGAAAATAAAACATTGGAAATCGAATCAAATGAAATGAGATTCAGTTCCAGGTAGCATCAGAAGAAGGATAAGAGAAAACTAACCTCTTTCTCGAGAGAAGAGATAAAGAAGAAAATGGGAATTGGACTAAACCCTTCAGTTTTCGGAGAAGACCAAGAGCAGAACCCTAGAGGACTTGGACAACCAAAAAAACTTTGCAAAACGCGTCGTTTCGTTACTATTTTAAAATACAAAAATAGAGATAATAGAAATAAAAGGAACATGTCTCCTTGTACATTTTCAGAATCAAATTTCTATTATTCCTTTTTAATAAACATGTTTATGTTATTATTATTTTTATTTTTTCTGTACAGTAACTATATATTATCCAAATATTTAAAAAAAAAAAAAACTAATTGGAGAAGAGGACAAAGAAGATGTGAAGATTACAAGCACACTCGGGATATTAAATAAATCAATTATAATTATAATGGCAAACCAATAAAAAAAATTTAAAAAAAAAATTTGTTGATTATATAAATAGTATGAAATCAAGTGTACCATTTTGCCATGCTTAAACCTCGAGAAAATCAGACTAATTTTTCATCATTACATTTTCTAAATGTCTATCATGTCTTGAAACTAACCAAATGTCCAAGAGAAAAAATTATACTTAAACCATATGGGACATTTGTTAGAAGAGTTCTAAAAGTATTAAAAGGAGGGGAGTTTTTACTGCATCACCTCACAAATTACTATTCATTTTAATGATGATTTTTATTTTTTATTTTTTTGTAAATCTATTTTTTTTTAATTTTAATTTTATTTTTTCATAATATTTAGTTTTCTTAATAATTAAATTTTATGATTTGTTTTGATTTATTTTTTATAAGGTTATTTTAACCTCATAATCTAGATCGTGAGTTTAATAAATTAAATTAACTCAAGGTTTTTTGATTAATTTTTTTAATTTTATATTTTTATATTTTTATTAATTGTGAATTAGATTTCATAATTTTTTTTATTTTGGTTTTTTTTTTATAAAGTAATCCTGATTTCATGTTTTAAATCATGTATTTGATGAGTTAACTCGAATTTACTTAATTCATATTTTTAGTTTTTTTTTTAATTTCATCTTTTTTTATTAGAAATTGTGCTTTATAACTTATTTTAATTTGTTTTTTATGAGTTATCACAACCTTAAAATTAGATTATAGGTTTCTTGATTAACTCAGAATATCTCAGGTCCTTTTTTTACATGTTTTTTATAAAATTATTTTTGTCTTATAACCTGGGTCATGATTTAAAATATTAACCCAGATTGATTCTGGCTTTTTTTATGTACTTTATTAATTGATTTTTTTTTGTTTAATTTTATTATTCGATATTGAGTTGATTAAAATTTAAATTATATAATTTATTTTAATTTATTTTCTATAGAGTTAGTTTAGTCTCTAACCCGGGTCGCTCATTTGACAAATTGATTGAGATTATTTTCTGAGTTTTTTTTATTAATTTGTTTTTAATTTCATCTCTTAACATTAAATATATTAAAAATTTAATTTTATAATTTATTTTAAATTAATTTTTACAAAAACTAATTATCAGTTCTATTGCTACATAAAAAAAAGTCCTGGTCTATGAAAACTCTTTAAATTTATTTAATTAATATTTATTAAATAAAAAAAATATACCAAGTGTCTTTTAACATAACTAGTTTTTACGTCCGTGCTTTGCAGCGGGAAAAAAGATTGGGCTTTTGTTTTTAGATGTTTTGGTACTAGCATGTATGCTCTTTTTTTTTTTTTTCTGTTTTTTTACATTCTCGAGTTTGTAAAATCTAAACACAAATTAGTTATAAAACATAACAAAAGAGATCTAATAGGGCTTTGTGGATCACTGGGCAGCCATAATTTTGTTAACAAACTATAATCCAAATTGCAAACCCTTTCCACATTATGTTTTTGTTCACTTGTTGCTCTCAACCTACGTTGTGATTTATTTTTGCTTTCAGACTATCGTGGACAGCAGCAAGTATAAGGGAAATAAATCTCATTATATGCTTTAGTATCTATATGATTATAATCACTTAAAATATGGCATGAACACCGCGTACCAACAGGCAAGATGTTGTCCAGGCTACAGCTCAAAGTAGTGTTTTAAAGGTGTGTTTGGTATTGCTATTATTGTTATAGTTGTAATTTTAAAAAAATATTTTATAAAAAATATTTTTAGTTGAGGTTGGTTTAGAAAAATATATATTTGATTAAAACTGTAGTTGAAATTAAGACTGAATAAAAAGTAATTTAATGTGTCTAGTTAAAAAAATATTTTTTAAATTGAGGTTATAAACTAATTAAAAAATATTTTTAATTTAAATATTATAGATTTAACTATTATTATTACATCATGAAATAAATAATATTGATATCAAATATTTTTTATTATTCCATTAAACTATATGCAATGTCATCACATACGAAATCTATCCAACAATAACTATATTTTTCATGGTTTCTTAAGCACACAACAACAAAAATTGAATTTTTTATTACGTCATCAGACGATCCCTTTTTAATTTTTTTTTAATAAAACACAATTAAAATAAAAATAAAAATTATTTTTTTTAACTAGGTCGAACCCAGCAAGAACATAATTGGAATTGCGATAAAATTCCACAAATATTATGTCATCATGCGATATCCTTCTAATTTATTTAGTATTATTAAATAATATTAAATACTAGTTTTTCAAGTAAAACTCTATTTTAAAAAAAAATATTTTACAATTTCATTACTTACAAAATTCATTCGACAAAAACTATAGTTTTCATGATTTTTTGAGCATGCAATAAAATTAGTTAAAATATTATCAGGAATAAAAATGAGATTACAGTACCAGTAAATTTAATTTACTTTAAACTAATTTCTTTAAAAAATAAAAAAAATTATTATTCACGTTCACGTAAATAGTGCTAGTAAAATCACTTAACTACACTGGTTTTTAAAAAAAAACCAAACTTTTCCTGATTTTTTGAAATAATTAAAAAAACACTAAACTTTTTCTAGTTTTTCAAAGAAAAAAAACCGATTTAAGTTTAAGTAATAAATAAAAGTGAATTAAAATTCACTCGTACTATATAGCGGAGCATGACTCCACTATTCACTGAACAGTGGAGTATAACTCCACTGTTACAGCTTCTCACCTCGAGAGAAGTAGTCAAATGCTGCTTCTTCAAAATCTGCAGTTTCATTTTAATTTGTAGTGAGTCCTATTAATAAAAAAAAAATTCTTGTTAAATAATATTACATGTAGCTGTGGGTGAACCTCACTCGCATTCTCGTTACCAAATAGACACTATATCTATTTATTTTTAGGTTTTAAAAGTATATTTAAAAAAATTATGATAGTGATTTTGTTTTAAAATATTTTTTACTTAAAAATATATTAAAATAATATTTTTTTATTTTTTAAAAAATATTTTTAATATTAGTATATTAAAATAATCCAAAAATATTATAATAATAATAATAATTTCAAGCAAGAAAATCAAAAATCTTCAAAAACGCTTTTTAATTACAAAATCAAACACACTATAAGGAGCAGTTTGTTTTTGCAGTTAAAATTGCATTTCGTAATTTCTTGAAATTTTATTTTTGCAGAATTTTTTTAATTTTTTTAATGTGTTAATCTTACAAATAATTTAAAAAAATTAAAAAATTATTACTTTCTTATATTTTAATTATAAAATATTTTAAAAAATAACTATAATTACAGTTAACACCACGAGGAGACTAACATCAACATGAACATCTTACACTCGAAATAACATCTGTATCTCGGGCCAAGCTAGGTTACAAAGGAATAACAAGAAGTATATATTGCCCAAGGAAATAAAAAATTTCGAGGAACTTGCATGCTGTAGCAAGTTTTTCTTTCTTCTTTTCAACGCAGAGAGCATTTCATTAATGGGAATTCAAAGAAATCACCTCATGGGAAAAAAGAAGAAGAAAACGACGATTCAGCTTCCAATGGAACATCCTCCATTGTGACCGTTTTAACAGAATCAGGAGCGGCTACATGAGCAAGGCAAAATGTCCCTTGGCTCTTCGCGCATTCGGCCATAAATCTCCAGAACCTGATGCCATCCATGGTCCTCTGCTAGTGCTGTAAACCATATACAACATCCCTACTTGAAACCATATTACGGGGAGCAGAGAAAACAAGGTTCTTGTGGCTCATCGTGGAACACAAAATAGATGCCTTCTTAACATTCTTCAAAGAGCACAACGCTAAAATTACACCACCAGACCTCCATGTGCACCACATCTACATCCTACAACACCGAGGGCACAAGTAAGAACAGATATGTTAAAAAACCATGAGCCACACAAGAAAGAACCACACAAACCATGAGCCACTCAAGTCAGAACCACAAGCTTTCTCAAAAAAAAAAAAAAAGATGTTCTTTCTAATAAACTTCCATTTTTAATATCAATATCTAAACTAGGTGGAAAATTTGTGAGCTAAATTTAAAACAGCGTTTTATTTATAGACCAGTGAATTCAGCGTCCAGTTCTTCCTCCAGCATATAGATATGTTTATCAGGCCTGCATCAACAGATTTAAGCTTACACCAACTCTCTTTTTTATCATCAATTTCCACTATACAAGCTTACATCCAGTATACTCAAAGAGAAGCTAAAACCAACATTAAATGGATCAATACGACCTATGTCAGGGAATCAAAAATCACTTGCAATAGAAAAAAATGAAAAAACATAGTAGAATTGCATACAAGACGAGGACACAAGCGTAGCAATTGTCGTGCTCAAGCTTCAGTGAAGAGCAAGGAAATTAGAGAAGCCAAAGAAAAAATGTGAATCAGTCATGAGATTTAGATGCATTGCTCTAAGTAGTGCGTGATTACTGTCCAGTATAGAAGAGACATAGATAGTTGAGAAAGAGAAATAAAAAAGGGAAACGAAAATACAACCATGCTCGGTAATGAACTACAAGCTACAAGCTAAAATGATTGTTTTTGTATCAGGGTTTAGGTTTAGTTATGGTTAGACAAACATAAAAAAATATATAAAAAAATTATTTTATTTTTAATATATATTATTATCAAACATATATATTTTTAAAAATAATTAAATTGTTTTTTTATTTTAGTTTATATTGAGTGTTGAAATTAATAATATTATAATAATTCTAATTATAACATCAGAACTGAATTTACGAACTGACCTGAGACCTGGACTAATACTAGTTTAAAAAAAAATAAAAAAAAGTTAACTTAACCTGACCTAATAAAAAAACCATGTTAACTTGAGATAAAATATGGGTAAAAAGCCAATTAAATTAAAAAAAAAAAAGATCAAAACAACATTACTTTGATTATTTAAAAAAATAAACAGGGTCAGAGATGACTCTCCTATCTCACGACTTGAACTTTGCCTCTAATTAACTCTTGAGTCGAGTTTTTAAATTATTATAATAATTATTTTTAGTTGTACATTGACTCAGATCAACCCGTTTTGACCCACCTAACTTGTGACATGAGTTTTGCCATAGTTAACCTCCAAGTTGAGTTTTAAAACTATAATAATAAAAACTTTTATCCTTGCATTAATCCGAGTTAACCCTCCTGATCTGTGACCTAAGTTTTATCTCGAGTTGACTCCCAATTAAAATTTTAAACTATAATAATAATTATTTTTATTTTATGTTGACTCGGGTCAACTTTGGTTAACTCTCTGGCTACTAGACTTAGGTCTTACCACAAATCAACCCCCAAATCAAGTTTTAAAATTATGATAATAGCTATTTTTGTCCTTACTTCGACCAAGATCAATAATTAACCCTACTTATGACTCGAGTCTTACCTCAAGCCAACCCTCAAATCAAATTTTAAAACTATTTTGTCCTTACTTCGACCAAGATCAATAATTAACCCTACTTATGACTCGAATCTTACCTCAAGCCAACCCTCAAATCAAATTTTAAAACTATAATAATTACCATTTTTATTTTTACGCTAACTTAGATCAACATGTGTTAACCCAACCCATAACCCGAGTTTTGTCCCAAATAGATTCCTGAATTGGATTTTAAAATTATAATAATTATTATCTTATGCTTATATGTCTTAATTGAACAATTAATTAATAGCTTTTTACAATGATATATTAAAAATAAAATGTAATAAATATAATCTCTAAAAGCATATTCCCTCTATACCTCTTGTTTCGAAAATATAAAAATAACTCTAGAATTATCTCATAAACATATTTATCTATATATCTCAATCTTTTTCTCCAATGTAGATTTATGTTTCTACGGTCTTTGTCTTTTTTATCTTATAATAATAACTCTTTTATCTTAGAATAATAACTAAACAGTCTTTGTTTCTTTTATTTTAGAATAATAATTCTTTTATCTTAGAATAATAACTAAACGATACCGATGGTAAAAACATACATCCCAGTATCCAAAGTAATCAAATAAAACAACAAATCAGCATGAGTGCAAACCATAATGTGACATTTATCCCTACCAAGTTTCCATGTCATTTTGAAAGATTCAGTTTTTCCCTGTAGAGTTTTAATAGCTGTGGAGCTTCATCAAAACCATCCACGAACTTATGAAGAAATGACTTCTCCGAATACTTAAACAAAGTGGCCAAGTTAGGCTTTTCATCAATCAACTTATTTGATTGTAGGAATTTAAGGACAGAAGCCCTTGGTATAAGCCTCTTCTCCAAGCTCAGCAACAAAAGAATTGGATGTTTGGCAACATAAGAAGACTCACAGCCCATATTGGTAACCAAAAAGTCCATCCCTGCCATAATCTTATTCTCGGAACTCATCATACACCACGGATTCCTTTTGAAAGCAGCCAGAATCTCTTCGTCTGACCAACCCCATCTCTTGTAAACACCGACCTTCTTTTCCCATCCAGATTTACTCTGCCCAGACCGTGCCAGCACTGCTAGAGTAAACACTAACTTGGAAGGGTCAAAACCCATTTCTTTTACCGTTTCAACAGTATTTCTAAAACGAATTGGACAAACTCTCACAGTCCTAGGCCACTTATAAATTAAGGAAGCAATATGTGATTTGGGAATTCCATTTTCTCTCAAAATGCTGACGTAAGGTTGCAAATAGTTCTCAGGACGATGATAGATAATAAACGGATAGGTTTTGGCAACAGTAATTGCCTTGTCATTGGATTGAAGCAAATCACTAAGGAAGTTAAAAGTAGGAGTTATAATGTTTTCCAAGCTTCTATGCAAAAGAGGAGGAATTATGCAGAAAATGGTGGCAAGTTCAGTGCTTGACATGCCTCTGGAGAGAAAAAAATCCAGTCTAGGCAAAAGGGTTTTGTCAGGATTACAAGAAAGCACCTTCGGGAATTTCTTAACGAGTTTAAAGATTTTGTCTTCGGGGAAACCATAGCGCCTGAATGTGTCGATGACTGAGTCAGGTTTATCTGGGGTTTCGAATTTGAGATGCTTGGAAGCTGATAGAGCAGATTCTGGAGAGAACCCACATTTTTCTATGAGATAAGAGGCTGCAAATGAGTGTTGATTTGGATTTGCAGTGCTTGAGATGCATCTGGTAAATGGTAACAAGAATAATTGGTGGCTGTTGGCTTCAATGAAATGGGTTGGTGAGAGTCTCAAGTAGTGTATTCCATGATGATGGACAATTGTTTTGCAAAAACAATAAGACATCGGAGATCAAAGGAAATGAAATTCAACTAGCAAGAGCAGAGGGACTGACCTCTTTGTGCAAAGGGAATCCGCGGCCGACAATCGAGAAGTGAGCTAAACAATTCAACCTCGCCCCCGCAGCTCCTATTTGATGCGCAAAAGCGGCCTCTTCACGCTTAACTAGGGATACCAATGGCTCATCCATCCCAATTTTTTACACGTGAGTTCGGAATTATCTTACGACTGTATATTACATTAAGGGTAAGAGATTGTTTTTATTTAATTTTTTTTTTAAATATAGTAAAATAATATGTTATTTTATTTTTTAAAATTTATTTTTAATATCAGAATATTAAAATAATTTAAAAAAAAATCAAAAATTTAAAAATTATTACTTAACTACTGTACCAAACACTCCTTAAACTAAAAAAAACTGAAAGATTTATTTATCAAATCCTCTAACGTAATATTGTTTTGTATTTTTTTTATTCCTTGAAATTTTTAATTTAATTACCAAATTTTTTTAAAATTTTATTTTTATGCATCTTTATTTTAGTTTTGGACTTAATAATTTGTTTTGATTAACTTATTATAAGGTTTTTGGGATGTCAACATTTAGTTAAAGATTAATTTTGGAAAAACAAAAATTGACTTTATTAATTAAAAAGTATTGAAAATAAAAGGATTTGTAAACTTCATGCAAAGTAGCTTAATTTACCAACAAAAAAAATAAATTAAAAGAAAAATCTTTATGACTGTGAGTGAAATTCCTAGTTGATTAATGTAAAAACTCGGATGAAATAAAAATTTAAATGGATATATGAAAAGTGATGGCAACCAAAGATTGAAAAGAAATTTAAATGGATATAATTTAGAGAGAAGTTTGTGAAATTTTGCCTTTTCTCTTCTTTCTTTCTCTCAATTTCCTTAGATTATAGGGCATGGAATATGATTAAGTATTTGTTATCAAATATAAGAGCATCTCCAAGATAAACAAACAGCCAAAAAAAATATATTATATTTTTAATTTTTTGGTTTGTTTCTATCCATTCCAACTAAGTAATTATATTAACGGTTAAAATAGCTACTGAACACCATAAATATATAGCAAAAAGTAAATATAAATAACAATGTTAGTTACTATTTTTTTCTCTGTTGATTTATATTTGTTGATCAATATCTTTATTTTGTATTCATTTGGCCAATGTTAATTTTTTTTCATTTAAAAGCAGAACAAACAGAAAAATAAAAAGACACCATTTAAGCAAAATAGAAGAAAAAAACTTACTTGCAAATTTCATCCTTTTCTCCGATTTAAAAAAATAAGAATTAATTGTTTTTTAATTAATTAATAATATCAATTATGTTAATTAACTGAAATTAAAAGGTATATTTGCTTAAAGACTTTTTCTTCTTTCTTTCTTTTTTTGCATCTCTTGATTTTTATTTGCTATTTGTAATGATTTTTATTTCTTTATTATTTTATGTTTTTGATATGGATTAAGGAAAATAATTTTTATTTATATTGTTATCTTTGACAAAATTAAAAGAAAATAATGGTGGTAGCTAATATTAATAAAAACATGAAGTGACATATCTTAATTTTATTTTTTATTGTCTATTTTAATTTGAAGTCAATTATATTTTGTCTTATTAAAAATATAATTAAACCAAGTGATTAGATTAATTGTATGATTAGATTAATGTTAGAACAAGTAGAAGGCAATTCTTATTATTAATTCACATGTATGGAAACTACAAAATTGCTAGATATTGAATGTGAGCTTCTTTTACACCATTTTATAAGGTTTTAACTAGAATTTTTTTTTTCTAATGTAAATGGATTCAAATTTTCTAAACTTTTTTACCAACTTTCTTACGAGCGAGTTAGAAGATATTCTCTCTCAACCAAGTAATTCTAATCAATTAATTAATAACTTAACATATCAAATTTAAATGTCAATACAATAAAAAAAATCCACAAAGAAGTAAAAACTTCTCACCAGAAAAAGATTGTTTACTTGTTTATGCTTGGTTAAATACAAATAAAGATCCAATTGCAAGAGTTGAACAACAAATAAAATAATTATAGGATCGCGTACATGCTTACTCTGTAGAGAATGAAGGAAATATGAATAATCGTTTAGAAATAAGCATCTCAAGTAAATGACAAGAAATAAATAGAAAAGTCGGTAAATTTGTTGGATTTGTTATTCAAATTGAAAATCGTTATCAAAATGGAATGATCGAAGAATTAAGAGTAATTTTAATATTTATTTTCATGTTAAATTATTTGATATATTTTTTAACATTATTGAATTTCTTTAATTTTTTACCAGATTAATGATGCTTGGTAAATGTATACTTTTTATGTTGGCAAGCAATTTTAACTAGAATATTATTGGGTTATCTTAAGAAAAGAACTCAAATGGTAAATTAACACCCAAATATTCATATAAATAAATTTTAAATTTAATTTTAAATTATATCTTTTAACTTTCATAATACTTCATTAATTTTATATTACTTTTATAAATTACTCATATTAATTATATAATTAATAACATCATAATTATATTATATATAAAATATCTAAATTAGTTATATAATTATATTAAAATTAATTTAATATGAAATATATTAAAATATAATTAACTTTTCTAAATAGCTTTTTACCATCAGAATATATATAATTAAAAAAATTATATTTATACTATTTAAAAAATAATTTGATCAATTTAACTCTTTAATATAACATTTCTAGTTAAAAATGCCCTTATAAACCAAATTAGAGGAATCCGGAGAGAAAGAGGGGTTGGAAGTCTCTTGACTATAGGGGAAAAAATGTCAATTTTGAAGTGAAGAAGAGGATTGTTTGGAATTGGTTGCAAAGACTCATTAATTTTGGGCTAATTAGCAAGGGTAAGATGTTCTTTTCCTAGTAATTCCACCTTTGCTCTTGTTTTTTCCTAGGGGATTGAAATGGAAAAGTTAGGGCTTATGATATTTTTGTATTAAAATGTTAATTGGGTTGATTGTTATTGATATTGAGTTATAAAAAGTGCATAATAATGGTTTAATTTGGATCAATTACATGAGGAATTATTTAATGTGAAACATTTTTATAATAAAATAAAATGAAATGAAAAATGAAATAATAAAAAATAAAAATGAAAATGTTTTACATTACTAACTTTATTTAAAAAATATCATGAACTTCACTATCAATGACAATTTACTTTCTAACATATTTTTCATAAAATACCAACTTTAAATAATTATTTTCAAGTGATCTTCATCAAAATAACCAAACTTGAACCCATTCAAAGTCCTATTTTGCACGAAAAACAGAGGGAATCAAACATAACTTCCAAACACAATTCTATTATTTATGCGAAATGGGAGGAGATTGATATGATTCTTCACCTGTCATGATTGAAAGTCGCACACGTTGAAGAGCAGAGGTGGAGAGCAAAGCTTTGATATTTCCTTTATGTTTTATTTAATTGCAAATGAAATAGTCAATGAATAATTACTTACTCCATCGAAGAGGCATTGCAGAATAATACAAACACCCTCTTTCCAGCCTCTGTTCTTCTTCTTCTTCTTCGGATTCCTTTCCCAAATTATGTTTTTATCAGTGGTATTAGAGCCGGTTCGGTTCATGGATACACACAGTAAAACCAACGTGGAGTTTCGTAACGAGGTCAATAAAGCCGTTACCCGTCACGATACCAGCTTCAAGGAATTAAACCATAATTTTGGACGAGTCAGTACTGCCCTATAAAGAGTCATGGCTGAGCTGCAGGCAATGCGAATTGCCCAATCTAATCACACATCTGACAAAGAAGTTAATCCATTCGCAGTAGGAGAGCCTTCCCACTACAAGCCTTCTGCATCAACCACCTCCATTACAAACCGGAATCACACTCACCTCAAGTTGAACTTTCCAATTTTTGCAGGCGAAGATGAGGATTGCACAGGTTGGATTTTCAAGGCTGAGCAGTATTTTGAATTTAAGAATATTGAATCTTCACGACAGGTATAAATGGCATCATTTCATCTGGGAAACGTCGCTCTTCAATGGTATCCTTAGTATACAAAAAATAGGGGTCCATTGCATTGGGACGAGTTCACCAAAGCCCTCCTCCACCATTTTAGACCAACGAATTATGATGATCGATTAGAAGCATTGTCTTATTTTAGACAAATGTCAACAATTAATGCTTACCAAGAGGCATTCAAAAAATTATCCCACAAGGTAGATGATCTTCTAGAAAAAATTTTGGTAGGTTGTTTTATTACATGATTGAAAGATGACATTCAATTGGATGTACGTGTTAAGCAACCGAAAATGTTATCGGAAACGGCTAGTGTAGCTTACCTCATTGAAGAATGAAACCAATTTCAGCAAAAACCTGGTAACCAAATTCGACCAGTAACTCCCTCCTACTAACCCCGACCTCAGCAGAGTACCACGGTGGGACTGCTTGGACCTTCCCCCTCTTGACGACCACCTCAAGCGTCTGGAAATCTCAATATACATGTTTGGCGGCTTACGGCACACAAAGCTAGGGAGAGACAGGAAAAGCGATTATGTTTCTATTGTGATGATAAGTGCATGTATGGACACTGTTGTACATGTCCACAAATGTTTATGATGGTTGATGGGTAGACGGAAGAGGAGAGAGTTGATATGGATATGGACATAGAGCCATCAGAAGAAGCCATTCCTGAAATATCGTTTCATGCCTTGGTTGGAACTGCACATCCATTACCTTTCACGTTATTGGGAAGGTCAGAAACAGAGAATTCACAGTGCTCATTGATGAGGGCAGCACCTATAATTTCATCGAAGAATTCGTAGTTACCAAGTTTGGATTACATGTGGTTCGTGGCAAAACAATTCAGGTAACGGTTGGAAACAAAGCAATTATTGAGTGCACTAGATACTGTACGGGACTTCCCCTCTCAATTCAAGGATTCATAGTCGAGTTGATTTCTGCGCACTCCTTATGGCTGTCTGTCAAAGCGTTCTGAGAGTGTAATGGTTAGAGATATTGA